AGCCTAATTTTCTGCACAAGAAAGAACATTTTTAACTTTCAGCAGAAGTGCAGGGTCTTGTCAAAGATTTTATTTTCATCCTTAACAGTGGTGTCACCCAATTTGGTGACACCCGGTTCGGGGGGCAGGGCTTCTGGGGCCAAGACTTCTGGCATACGCACCACACAGGATCATGTGCACACACATGCATGCCCCTGAAGCAGCTTAGAAAGCCCCACGGCAACCTGGAGAGTGGGCCCCATACCCCCACATCAGCCCAGAAAGCCCTGTGGCAGCCTGGAGAGAAGGCCCTGTGCCCTTGCGGCGGCCCAGAAAGCCCTGCGGCAGCCTGGAGACCAGACCCAAGGCTCTGGAAAGGCTCTGGGTGGTGGAGGAATGAGCGAGTGTCACCTCCTCTTCTGTGGTGTCACCGAGTTCCTCACCATGAACCAAAGACAGTGGAAACTGGGACAGTCTGTGTTCACAACTGGTGCTCTACAACTGAGCTGTGGCCCTTCCCTTTAATGTTTCATATTTAGATTTTGGGTGTTTTATTCCAGCTTATCCTCCAGCATAGCAGTGTATCCGTCATTCCATTGCACCACCTCAGGATGTGGAAAGGCCTAAAAAAAACCCCTTCCCCTTAGCCTTTAATGTACTGTACCATGTTGTTGTCTCCTAGCATCACTTTTAAGGTTTTGGAAATGATAGCTACGTTCTTACTAAAAAATTGAAATATGGTTTTGAGTTAGCAGATGCCAATGTGTGTGTGTGTGTGTACACATACACACACACACACACACATTATTTTTTTGCAAAAGTGATTAAAAGAGGGGTTGGAAGAGAATCACAGCTGGCTGTGCAGATCTAACCCCCCCACACACACACACCTTCTGTTTACTTTTGCCCCCCTTTAAAAACTCACTCCATTTGATGAAAAAAGCCTCACACCATGGAGCAACACATAGCAAGGAAACATGCTGATGTAATCCTTTTTTCAAAACAAGCAAACAAACATGCTTGGCAGTTGAAAAGAATTTACAGTCCATGCTTTTTGCTCATGCAATTAAATAGTGGTGATTTTTAATCTCCTATGTGCACACAAATAAATAGTATGAAGTCAAGAGACTTCTAGAAAATGGGGGAGAATGGGCCTTGGGTTTTATTTACTACTTTTAATCAACATGGCTTTCCTTTAGTGTCTGCAAACTTCTAATCTCACTTTTCCCCCAGTGCAGAGAGAAGTACTGCAATTCCATTCAAGTTGTATTAGTACCAAAAAGAAAAAGAGGGAAAGAAAAATTGAAGAAAAATTCCTTCCTTCCTTCCTTCCTTCCTTCCTTCCTTCCTTCCTTCCTTCCTTCCTTCCTTCCTTCCTTCCTTCCTTCCTTCCTTCCTTCTCATTCTAGGGATATCATTGCACAAATCCCTTTGGGGCAAATGTGTACTTCAGAGGTTTTACAATTGTCTTGGATTTAAAGAGCAATCCCCTGCAATGCTTCTCTTTTTCTCCCATAAGGACATAAAAAGCAGCACTGTAAAATGGAACAAATTCGCTGTGTGTTTTACCTCTTGCAAACCATCTGGTTCTCCATGAAATTTCTCTCCAGAGTAAGCTAGTACTCATACTGCTGCTGTGCACCTGCCCTTTTCTAAGTCTGAAATAGATTTGTTCCCCTAAATTTTGCTTCCTTGAATGTTTGAGATCCAAGTCTGACACCCAATAACGTTGGCCTGCAATACGATTGGTATTTGCCTTTCCTATCTGATTTCCCTATTTGATATTTGGCCATGCATGATAGCTGGCGTATAATGCATTTTCATCTTTTACAATATTTGGGAGTTGGCATGTAATGGCATTTAATAACTTACTCTTGTGGTGATAGATGATATGTTATGGCATTTGGAATCTGACAGTTGACAGCTTCTAAGACCTCTGCCAAACTCTAAACAAGCAAGAGGTGCCAGCAAGCCTGAAGCAAGAACATTTTAAATGAATGTTAAACTGAAGAAAAAGTCTCACAGAGACCCGACATGGAATTCAATACATCACCGGGTCTCTCCTGAACTAAACATGATGATAACAGTCTAACAGATGCTAGGATAATCAGATGACTTTAATGCACTGCATCTGAAAAAAAATCTGGAAGGTGCATGATATACGTAAGTGATACTACATTTGACATCAAAGAACAACTTGGGTTGTCTTGCATTGTGCACTGTATTGTGTACAATGTTACATTGCTGTCTACTAAAGAGCAATGATCGTATACTAAATAATGACAACAGCTAGCAATGTATTTGCAATCTCAAAAATCCACATTATGTTCCAGATAAGAAAACTGACTCAAGCTAAAGCAAGTACAGATAGTAACACTAAGAAAAAAGCCAGAAATCAGACAGGAAGGAACACAGCCCCAGACTAGTCCTTTCCTACCATGTATGTCTGACTGTAGTCATAGAAACCTCCTAAGCCTCGAAGCATCATAGACCCATCCTTATCAGTGCTGAAACCTTGAAGAAGACCATTACTTTTCCCAGTATAAATACTGCTGTTTCAAGATGAAGCACAGGAAGTTGAATGCAGATTTTGTGACTCATTGAAAAAGACAATAATGCTTGGTAAAATGGAAGGCAGTAGGAAAAGAGGAAGGAAAGGATGGGTTGATTCAGTCAAGCAAGCTGCAGCACTGAGGCTACATCTACACTGCAGAATTAATACAGTTTGTCACCACTTTAACTCCCATGGCTCAATGCTATGGAATTCTGAATTTGTAGTTTTAGCATGGTCTGTCAGAGCTCTCTGGTGCCACAACAAACTACAAATCCCAGGATCACTTGGGTACGGGTCTTTGGAAGTGTTTTTCAGCCCAATTTTCAGCTGATTTATTTAAAATGCGGGGTCTGGAGGCTTCAGGGTCTTTTGGTGTGGACAGAAGGTGCTTCAGGGGCCATAAATTCAATCCCAGGACCTCATGTGGTCCATGTGGCAGCCTGATCTACAACCTTAACTGAATAATGGATTTGAATCATAGAATCATAGAGGTGGAAGAGACCTCATGGGCTATCCAGTCCAACCCACTTCTGTCATGTGGGAATACATAATCAAACCACTCCTGACAGATGGCCATCTAAAACCTCCAAAGAAGGAAACTCCACGACACTCCAAGACAGCATAGTCCACTGTCAAACAACTCTTACCATCAGGAACTTCTTCTTAATGTTTAAGTGGAATCTCTTTTGCTGTAGTTTGAATCCACTGCTCCGTGTCCTAGTCTCTGGAGCAGCAGAAAACAAGTTTGCTCCATCCTGAATATGACACTCCTTCAAATATTGAAACATGACTATCATGCCACCCCTGAACCTTCTCTTCTCCAGGCTAAACCTACCCAGCTCCCTAAGTCTCTCCTCATAAGGCATGGTTCCCAGACCCTTCACACCATTTTGTTCTCCCTCCTCTGGACATGCTCTAGCTCAGGACACCTGGAATCCTTTCATACTACACACTTATAACATTATGATTCCACTTTAAATATCACAGTTCCATTCTAAGGAAGCCTGACAATGGCAATTTATAGAGGAGCATTTCAAGATCTCAGCTAGAGTACTATACTACCTCACCAAAATACAAACTTCAAGATCCCATATGATCCCTCCAAACCAGTTAAAGAATCCTAATGCAACAGTGTGAAGGAGTCACTGGTCTACCACAAACCTCACACCACTATATCAGGGCTGTGTTTGTCGTTGTTGTTGCTGCTGCTTCTGTTATTTACTTTTTTGCCATCCCACCACCTTTCACCTGAAGATTTTCTACAGAATTCAAAGACTGCTCACTGTTGTGTGACATATTGATTGTGCCTAATAAAAATATCACTTGTTTTGGAGTTTAATCAACCTCCACCACTCTCCAGTTTTCTCTTTCTCTAACCCAAATTGGATTATGTGGAGAGGCAGAAAAATAGGCTGGCAATGCACTCAGATTCAGAGTCCATGAGCCTGGTCGTGTTTCATTCATTATTAGAAAAATGAACTGTTATTATCTTCCTATGGAGAGCTGCCTCCTAATGGAGTTTGACAAAGTAATGGAGGCAAGGAACTGTGGCCTACACAATTTGATCCCTTGATGTCCCATGAAGCCACAGATGACTTTTTGGTCTGCTTACATCTCTCACAAAATGACAGCTGGTTTCTGACTTTAATGGCAATTGTTGGGAAAATGATAGCAGCCCATTCTCTTGCTGTGAGAGTGAATCCTCGAAAATAATTGGCATTTAAAAGTGGAAGGTCACACAGCTATTGTTGCCTAGGTGACCTGGGTTTGGGAAGACCCATCTCAGTAGAGTTCTTTAAAAATAAATATCCCAACAAATCACATGGGCATTTGTGCCCATTTCTCCAATAAGCTGGTATGTTGCTCCAGTGATTTGAAGGGAACATTCAAAAGAACCAGAGTGAAAGATTCAGTGCTGCACAGCAGAATGTCACAAAATGCACAGTCAATATTGCTTATAACCAAGCAAACAACATCTTAAAACATCCTAAAAGGAGAGCCACATGTTATGAGAGAGCCAAAACACAAACCAGTAATGAACCATGTGTTGCAATTCACCTTCTGACTCTGAGGCATCTCAGATAGAGAATCTAGATCTGGAGGACATCCAGATGATGGCAAACTCTCCCTGGATCTTCACAGCTAATGGCAGAGATGGCTGCTGAGGAACTTCAGCATGGTAGGCATCTATCTCAGCTGCAGGAAAGCAATGGCAAACTTTTTCTTCTATGCTGGGAAAAAACAAACAAATCTTATGCAATCAAGCTATATAGCTATTATATGTGTATGTGTCAGATTTCTGATTACTGCTCAAAGGTGCCAGATTTTGTCTGCTGTTTCTTGCCACTGTTGTACAACCCAAGAAAAAGTACAACCACTAGTATGAAGCACCAACAAAATTCTGGCTATGGCATGCAAAGGGCTGGGAGCATCCAGCAACTTATGATTCGTTTCTTGCATGAAAGAGGCCAATGTGGTGCAGTGGTTTGAACATTGAACTACAAATCTGGAGACCAGGCTTCAAATCCCTGCTCAGCCATGAAAACCCACTGGGTGACCTTGGACAAGTCACATTCTCTCATCCTCAGAGGAAGACAAAGGCAAACCCTTTTAAACAAATCTTGCCAAGAAAATCCCTATGATAGCTTCACCTTAGGGTCTCCATGTGCCAGAAATGAATTAAAAGCACATAACACCACCACCAACAAAAGAGGCCTGATGCAGAAGCCTCCCAGGATGCAACAGTCTAGAGAGAAGAAAAGAAACTGCCCTGTAGATGCCCAGTCTGAGTTCCTATTTGCAAAGAAATAGGAAATACTGCTTAGCCAAATGGTCCATTCCTTAGCAGAGCACCAAGAATTGATGTGATAACAATCTTTTTGTGCACATTATGCTGATACCTAAAGTCATTACATTGACACTTTAGCCTGCAGCCAGTTTCTGAGAAGCTAATTTTTTTCAGGGGGGAGAAAAGGATAGCCTATGCCTCCCTCATCTTCTTACAAATGGGCCTATTTGTGAAAATTGCAGGCGACAAGATTTTATATCCCGAATCCTTTTTATGAAGTTAAACGGAAGAGCAAGGTAAGATTTTTATGGAAGGCGCTATCAGGTAGATACACATTTGACATGGAGAGCGCTGAGTTATCAATTCCCGCCAAGGCCAACCATATATTTCTTGCATCTGGAGCAAAATGATATTTGACACTTCATTTCAAGACCAAGACATCTTGATGCTAAAGGAGAGGATAAGGGCTACAGTTGAGAATATCCAGTTTGACAAAATGGATGTTACTGGTCTGATCTACTCTGTCTCTGTAACTGACCACTTTTAACTGATCCCTTTATTCTCCATATTTTTTTTTTGTAAAAAAAATCTGGTCAAAAATTGCTCAATTATGTCTTGGAAATCTATTCTAGATTGGGATTCATCCAGCCTAGGTGGCCATATGTGGTCCATATGGATGTTTTTGTGGTCCACAGAACCTCTTGCCATCCTCTCTCTCTCTCTCTCTCTTTGCTTTCTCCCCCCTAAAAAGGGAGGAAGAAGTGTACCTTGCAAGAACCATGGTTTTCTTTCTTCTTGTTATAGCCCATGGTGGGGAAAGTACAGACCATGGACTACATTGGGAAAGTCTCCAATGCTCTTACGATGACCCCCTCAGAGGTCCCCAGGTTCCAAAACAAATTTTATGAAACTAAGTTCCAGGTTATTTCCTGTGCAAAATAGGTGTCTCTTGGCCATAAATCAATCCAGAGAAAGTGAAAAACATCTGACCAATAAAGGACTGGCTAAAATGTTCAAAATCAATTATGTCACATATAAAATGAACTTTTGTTCTGAGGACATTTTTATCAGACCTTTGAATCTGCTGCCTTTCTCCCCAGTTAGTCAGTCACTCTGTTTTTTATGCTTTTGTCTCTTTCAAAGTCTCCCCCATTAGCTCTGCTTATTCTTGCACTGTGGATGTGTGTCCTCATCACTGCCCTTCTCCACTTGTCATCTCATCCATCTATTCCATAACCTCCACCCTTTTAGATTCTTCTTTGTCATTCAATGTGTCCATCTATCCAGGGCTCTTTCACACTACAGACTTTATTACACATAGCCTTTCAACAGGATAAAAGCATCTTTGGACTGAACTTAGAATCATAGAATCACACAATGCCATTTCTCTTCCATTGCTGCTCTGTATTTAATTTGTGGAGTACATCTTTTCATTGACAGGGAAAAATGTAAATGGCTACCAATATCACTGCTATTCCATTAGTCCCCCTGGTGTGATAGGTCCCTTCCGTTGCAATGACAATATGACAGCAGTCATGTGGCATGAGGAGATTTGGTTCTCCTCCTCTCTTCCTGACTATTCCCAAGCAGGCTGAGGTTGTTTTTGCTCCGTGCCTTTTATATTTATTTATTTATTGGTTTTGCTGTGATTGCACAATGATACCTAAGTGATATAATTATTTTTTTAAAAAAATCAATTCCCATTTTTAAAAAAATCATCTCAGTACCAGGTTCTGCATGGCAACACATTTGGAATAACCCTCCATTTAGTTGTAGATCAGCTCTCATTAAAGAATGTTCCTTAAAACTGATCCATTGACCCCGTTCACTTGACTTATTAGTAGAAACTCATGTCCTTTTGGTTGGAGAGGCTGTTCAGATAGAGGAACGTACTTCCATATGTGCTTTCATTGTACTCGAAGTTTTAACTTTTGGGAACAGGTTTTCTCTATAATCTCTCAGATTACTAATCAAAATTTATGTGTGTCTTGCTTTAGTACTTTTGTCAATTTTCATTGACTGTAACAAAAACCTTAAATATAAACATTTAATATTATTTTATTTTATTTTATTCTATTCTATTTTTTGCTGTTACAAGAGTAGAGACTTCTCAGAAGTGGAAAATTGGCCAATTAAATCTAGAGGGTTAGTGGCAAAGAATATGGGACTATCTTTTAATGGAAAAACTTTGACAGAATGGAATTTCCCAATGGAAGTATTATATCATTTAAAGAAAAATTAACTTCCTTTTTGATTTTTGTAAACTCCACTTCATATTTATATCTGTTATCAGGAAACCATGTACACCTCTGGAGGGATGTTAGAGGAAAGATAAGTTTGTTTGAACCTTGTAATCTGGTTACAGACTATTCTTGGGTTGATCTTGTTATTTGGTTTTAATCTTAATCCTTTTATGTATATTTATTTTTCAATTTTTTTTAAAAAAATCATTTCCCCATTATTACAAACACGTGCCATTTTTTTAAGGCATGCATGTGCTGAATAGGGCATTCATATGTAGGAAGGTGGGGTTATTTAGGGACCCTGGATTATCAAAGCAACACATTCACTGCACACTTGCATGACTGCAGAGATGTGTGATACTGAACATTTGTAATCCAGTATTTTTCCCGTTTGCATCAAAAACATGATTGTGAGTGTGTGTGTGTGTGTGTGTGTGTGTGTGTGGGAGAAGGCTGGTGTGATATAATTTAACACGATTATTGTGCCGTTATTCCCATGTCCTATGAGGAATGACTTAGGGAACTGAGTATGTTTAGCCTGGAGAAGAGACGTTAAGAGGTGATATGATAGCCCTGTTTAGATTTTTGAAGGGATGTCATATTGAGGAGGGTGCTAACTTGTTTTCTGCTGCTCCAGAGAATAGGACCAAGAACAATGGATGCAAGCTACAGGAAAAGAGATTCCACCTCAACATTAGGAGGAACTTCCTGACAGAGAGAGCTTTTTGAAAGTGGAACACACTCCCCTGGAGAGTGGTGGAGTCTCCTTTGGAGGTCTTTAAACAGAGGCTGGATGGCCATCTGTCAAGGATGTTTTGATTTTGAGTTCCTGCATGGCAGAAGGGGATTGGACTGGATGACCCTTGCGGTCTCTTCCAACTCTATGATTCTATTCCACTCTAACTGCCATGACACAGTCCTGTGGAATCCTGGGATCTGCAGTTCAGGGAGACTGTTGTTTCCAAGTTATCATTCCCAAAATCATTTCCAGCTTACAGTGACCATAAGAAAAGCACTGAGTTTTCTTGACAATATTTCTTTAGAGAGGCTTTTGTCTGAGGCTGATAGAGTTTGGCTCACTCAAGGTCATGCTATGGGTTTACATGGCTAGACAGGGATTTGAACCCTGGTTTACCAGAGTCCTAGTCCAGTACTCAAACCACTATGCCATGCAGTCTTATGGGTTTTACCTCTTTCATATCCTTCTGCATCAGCTACACTTGTTCTTGCACTGTGCATTTGTGTCTTCATTACTGTCCTTCTCCACCTGTTATGTCATCCATCCGCTCCATTTCCTTCACCTTCTTAGATTCTTCTTTTTATTTCAGTATGTCCATCCATCTACTCTTTGGTCTTCCTGTTTTTCTTTGTGTGCTATATTCCATTCCAACATCTTTTCTTCCCTTTTTCCCTTCTCCACCCCCTCTTTCTTCTCAGCAAGTCTTCCTCTATTCATCTTCTCTTATTCTCTATCACATTCACTCTTTTCTCTTCTTCCCTCTCTCCCTCCCTGTGTGCTTTCCTCCATTACCACCCCCACATCTCTGAACCATGAGGCAACAATGCATTAACAACACCACAGACTTCCTCTGTTTTCCCCTCCTTTTTCCTATTAATGCTTCTGCCTTCCATGGAGTGAAAAAAATCCAGGGTTAACAGTAAAGTATCTCCATGCTGGCTGATGTAACAAAAACAGAAATCAAAAGTGTTATACCCTAAAATCCTCATAGGCAAATGCCATACAATTACATGGAACTAGATTCTAAATTCTAAAATGTAGCCCCTAGCCTAATTAAAATCAAGGCACTGATATTGTGCTTTGAGCCTAAGGGACAGAACTCTGAGATTTCTTAATTAGCAAGGGCAATGATTCCTAAATACCTTAAATGTTAGAAGTGTAATAACACCGCACTGAAAAAGATGATGCTTCTGAGTGGGCAGTAGGAATAGAATTAGATAGCTTCAATGTCCTGAAATGAGCTCCCTCTTTGCTTATCTATCCTGACCTCCTCTGTGATGTGAACTGATACTTTTAGGAAACATTTCCACTCCTCTTCTCATCACACACAGACAGACTGATAACATCTTTTGGCTTTCCTCTAAGTTTAGTTGTGTCTACACACTAGCTGGCAAGCAAGTGCATTTTCCATGTAACAATATATTTTTGTATTCCAAAATTTTAGGATGGTCTGGTCTTGAATGAGCAAGTAAAATGCAGAAGCTTTAAGACCTGCTCCCTGTGGAAGTGGAGAGGGCTACATTCTGGTTTGTTGATATTGGTCAGGGTGGGTGAAGTTTGGCTTCTGGGCTGCATGTGCGCCCAGACCCAACTTTTGCAGCCCCCAAAGATATTAGCTCTCCCAAAACACATCCCCTTAAAAATATTGGTGTGATTTTCACGTGATTTTGATCCAAAACCAAGCAGACCCCACCAAATATGCAAATATGTGTAAAAACACCCACCACTACACTACCCATGCCCCCATTTTGACAGCTCTGCTCAAAATGTTGACCAGAACTGATGAGATGTCACTTCGAGTTGCCATTTTGAAGAGAAACTCCAATGGAAATGGAGGTATTTCTGTGGGCTTTGGAAAGATGCAGCAAAAAAGTGTGAAAGCACACACAGCCACACAGAAAATCCCCACAACCCTATCGCTCCTCATACCTGTTTTCCTCAGAGTTGTGGGGAGGGTCTGTCTGTCTGTCTGTATGTCTGTCTATCTATCTATCTTCTTTCAGAGAGTATCAGCCTGTGAAACTTCCATGTTTCCTCACTTTTCACACCCACCTGAAGATGCAGGAAATCATCAAAAGGTCTATGGTTTATAAGATCACCTTGAAAACCCTGGGGTTTGAAGAACACACAATGATTGTATCCCTTAGTTTAGTGTAATGAATGAGTATTATGACGATTTCCACTCAGAACCTGGAAAAATTGTTTTTTGGATGATCACTTCCACAGCCTTTAGCCATGCTATTTGGAGAATGATGGATGCTGAAATCCTGAAAGGTTATTTTCTCCAAGGTCTGCTTCCATCAGAAGTACCCTGCCTAAGCACTGAATGGAGAAAAAAGAAATCCACTTGTTTTCCCTACTCTAGCTGCAAACCCTAATCTCTGTCTCAATTGGTTTAACATGATGTCTGGAAAGTGGTACAGCTAGATGTCTATAGGTTTTTCCCATTATCATGCACATCAACAGAGAGCTATTCTTTCCAAGATGACTTCTCTGCACCTACACTGAACATGGGAATGCCAAAAGGTAGAATTGCAATTGTAGGTGGAATTGGTCAGCATGGGTTTGATTAGCACCCCACCAGCAATGTTGACTGTGCAGAAGAGGCTCACTTGAACATCATTGTTGTAGGAATGCAAGAAGTTGCCACAACAAATCAGACCATTCATTGGTCAGTTGGCTCTCTTTTATGTCCTGCTGAAGTGCAGTAACAAAAACAAAACTCTAGGCCCCAGAGATGCCAACTTACAGCACTGTCTGAGGTAAACACTTTGAGAAGTACTTAACAGTAGTAGAATACAGAAGCACGAGTTCAGTTTAAGTATTGGCAATGCACTGACCACAAACTTACAGACACTGTTGATCTTCTTCCAAGTCCTTGGCGGTTCTTTATCATAAATTGCAATAATAATATTTACAAATTTGTACAAATTCTCCTCTCAATGCTCACTGTCTATAATATAGCAATCCAACCATCAACTCACACATGCACTGAGTCTCAGTGCTGTTATATAGAGAATTGCTTAATTGTCACCACCTGTTGCCACTTAACATGATGAAGTCCCTATTGTAAGCCTTTGCATCATGTCAAGTGCTGCGACTTATCAATTTCAGCCATGCAAAATATTTTTACCATTGTTTAAAAGAACATTGTTCTAACATGGTCAGTTCATTAACGTCTACACATTAATGCCCATCCATTCATATCTAAACCTTCAAATGTTCAAAAATGTTGGACTACAATTTCAGAGCATCATAATAGTCAGGGTTGATAAGTGTTTTCAGGGAAGACAGAGTCCGCAAAACACCAGGTTAGTATAAGACTGGGCTACACTAAGTTGAGAAAGCTAATGTGGCATAGTGGTTTGAGTGTTGGACAATGGAGACCAGGATTCGATTCCCAGCTTGGCCATGAAATCTACTGGATAAGCTTGGGCAAGTCACATGCTCTCAGCTTCAGGGGAAGGGAATAGCAAACCTCCTCTGAACAAATCTTGCCAAGAAAACCATATGATAGGTTCACCTTAGGGTTGCCATAAGTCAGAAAGGACTTGAAGGAACAACAACAACAACAAACAATAAGTGGAAGTAGTACTCTGCATTTTCAAACCAAATTTTCTTTAACTGGAGATGCTAGGAATTGAACCTAGGAGCTTCTTCATCAAAGTCTGTTCCTTACCACTAACTTACAGCTGTTCTCTAAACCTATCCCCACCATCAGCTGTGATATAGTTCTAATACAAGTTCTGTTGATGAAATGGCTAGAATCTGCTCCTTGTTCAATCAAGACACACAGCATCTCGAATTGCCTGCTCAAGGAAACAATATATTTTTGTTAATATTCAGATATGCATAACACACTACATGCACAATAATATTACAGAGGCTCATAATTAATGGTTGCACTGGATGTCTGTATATGTTTTGACTATAAATCAATAAAATCTTGTTTTTATGAAAAAAATCAATGGTTGTGGGACAATAGTTTAATAAAATGTGATCTGTCAGATACGTGCATTTTTCTACTGTTCCTTTGTATCTCTAAATCTACGTATATGCCTCTCAAACACCTGCGCTGGTATCGTGATTTTTTAAATTATCATTATTATATATAGTGGATTGATCATCTTCCTTTCTCCTTTCTTTTCCTCTTTAGGTTATTGTATCATTTATGGGCCTAGGTGCAATTATTCATGCTAGGAAAGGGTGCCATGCCTGCTGTGTCAGTTTCTTTCATTCTGTTTGCATTTCATGTGTCATATGCAGACACATTTCATACATCTTAATTATGTGATTATCTTCTATGATGCAAAAGCTTCCCTTCCCAGGGGAGGAGGAGGAACAGAATATTACTGAAGATGGGAATGGAGGAAGTCAAAACTCATCAAACCGTTCTCACATTTGCTTTCTCTATTGATTTACCAAAAGATTATTATTGTGGTCCTTCTACTGGCTTCTCTCATTAGGGACATATTGATTGTTAAAGCCTCATTATTGTGAATGTCGGAGTGCATTTGGGGAGGTTGGGGGGTGGAATTGGTAAAGGAGACATATTAAATCTGGAAATTTATTATGACGGCCTTTGCTGAATTGAGCTTACTTTCCATGGGACCCTGATTCATTTTTAAGCTTAAAAAAATTAATTAAACTCTTTTCACAATTGCCTCCTGCCTTTTAATAAGGTCAAAGAGGGAATATGTGTCTCTCTTTTTTTACCCATAAAACAAGCAACCTGCCATTGATTGAAAGCACAAAAACCCATTTGACTATTTTACTGCAAAATGGATGTTCATTTAACAGTCCTCCTAGCTTATCTGTATAGCAGGAAAAAGTCAGATTCTATGGTGTTAATTCAGCAATGGCCATAAAAAGCGAAGGTCTGTCCCAGACAGTATCCTTCCTTTGTGAAGTTCTCATATTGGACTTCTCAATGTGATCTCAAGTTCATAGTAGGTTTAGCCCTGCTGACCAACAGTTATCTATATCAAATTATCATTTTCATATGCAGTATGAAGGACTTCCATCTTCTTTGCCTGCAACCTTTACAGTGTAATGGGGAAAATATGACTACCAGGGATGGAAAGAACATTTGAAAATATTCAAAAATATTTTGAAAAATATCCAAAATATATTCCAGATATTTTTCCAGAGGGAAGAAAAGCTTAGACTCAGAAGAATGTTAGTAGTTTTATACTTATTCTGCACAAAATTCAGACAGTATTTTTACACAGAAGTCAGCATTTTCTGTGCAGAAAATAATGCTCAGTATTCTACATCAGCTAGTTAGATAAGTACTCTTAATAAAGTAACTTCTCCTGGTACAGTCCCCCTAAACCTGAGGGAAACATCATCCTCCCATGCTCTGATCACTGTCATAACAGACTTCCATCTCCCATGCAGCTGATGCCTAACAAAGTAGGCTGGAGGGGAAGTTATGA